TGAGAAGGATCTATTAAATATAAAATCTAGGCCTTAACAACCCCTTTAATACTCCATAACGTATTTAGTTGCAGTAGTGCTCCAGATTTACAACATAAGTATGTCTTAGACTACAAATGTTTTATAATGAAGTAAAAATCAGTGGGCAAAATAAATCTAATTATTTGAACCACTGACAAAACAAATGCAAAACTCTCAATAAAACGATATGCTAGATGACTCTAAAGAGAGAATACAAATTGGCCGACTATCTCTGCAGAAGCACGGCCACATCCTGACCGAGTTTACAGTATAGTGACTGTCAAATGAGAGGGAGAGAAAAATGCAACAAAAAAACGAGTGCATACAGTTTGTAATCACTGTTGAACAGGGACAGTTTAGACAGAGATGCACTTTCTCCTTCACTGTGGAAAGTTCTCATTGTTCTCGTTGTTTTCTGAGCTGACAGAACACACTCCACAGAAATTCCCTTTTATCTGTCAAGACTGAGAACATTTATGAATAAGAAAGCAATATTTTATTATTCATTGGCAATACCTCTTGGCTTCTGCATTTTCTGTTGCTCTGAAACACTGAAATTATTATAAAATCAAAATAAAAGTATTTTTGGTACTTGGATGTTGTGTGAGTGAGTATTTAAGCAAAATTCAGGTAATGGGTGGGGCTGAACTATTCAATTGTTCAAGCTTCAAAGACTATGAATATTTTTCTTTTTTGGTCTTCTGTACACAGAAGTAATCCGAGTATCTTGGAGCTTTTTGTTTGTTTTTGTGTTTTTTGCTTGCACAAAATCAGATACTTGACAGCATCACAGTGATGAACATTTGTCACTTTCTTAAGACATTTTAACCAAATTTGCAATAGTTTAAAAATTAATGAGGAATAAAATTAAGTGATGGTTGCAATTATTACCTGCACAGTCAACATTAATAACAGACTTTTTATAATCCATGCACTTTTTGATGAATGACGAAGCATTCTGCAAACACAACGTCCAGATAAACAGAAACAACTTTTTGAGCTATTTTTATAATTTAGGTTACTGCCTTTGCCCTTGTGTCAGTGAAGTTCATTGAAATCAAAGAAAAGAAGAGAGCAATGAGTTTATACAGTCATGGTAAAAGGAAACGTCACCCCCTTTTTATTCTATTATTTTACATATCAGGCATGAAAAATAACTTGGTCTCAATTAAATGCTCTTAAATAACTGATCAACAGCAAGCGTGAGCACCTCGCTAAGAGCAGACGTTTTGGCAGTTTGCTCCCTGAGCCATTTCTATGTGTTAAAACAATGCCAAGGAGGAAGAACATGTGCAGTGAGCTTAAGTAATCATTGTTGCTCATCAATCTGGGAACGTCATTTCCAAACAATTTAAAGTCCATCATTCCAATATTCCCAGCAAATTTAACCCAAGGTCACGCTGTGAAATGCCAAAAATAAAAGGAAAACACCTCCTCTCTCTTTTTCCAACACAGCATATCAGCACAAATGCCTCATCCCAACTGTCAAGCACAGTGGTGGAGGGGTTATCATTTGGGTTTATTTGGTACCCACAGGAGAAGATCGCTTTGCAGTCAGTGAGTTTGACGAGTCCATGTGACTTTTGAATACATGAAAAACATGTGAGGCCATCTGTCGAACAGCTAAAGCTTGGCTGAAATCGGGTCATGGAACAAGGCAAGGATCCCAAGCACATCAGTAACTCTACAATGTAATGGCTGAAAATAAGAAAATCAAGGTGCTTCGATAGTGCAGGGAAAGTCCAGACCTCAACTTGTCTCACGTGCTGTGGCAGGACTTAAGTTTCACTGAACTTATAATATTGTAAAGAAAATTATTATTAAGCTTGCAAATCATGGGTGTACTTTTCACATAGTTTCTGCATTTTGGCTTATTTTTACTAAATAAATAGTGACACTGTGTAATATTTTGTAGTTTATTTGAGATTGTATTTGCCTTATTTTAAGGCCTGTTAAAGACTACATTATTATTATTAGTAGTAGTATTATTATATCCTGATGCACAAAACCTTGCTTTCTTTTTACCAAAACTGTACTACTAAATCTAATATAACATGGACAAATATTATATTATCATCCATAGTAGCTGTCTATTATAGTGTATATTTACTTTCCTGTTGAAACAAGTGAAGAAAGGTACTGCCTCAGCCTTTCATGTCATTCAAACAGGCCCCCATCTCTTCTCCCTATTTTCCAATGAGCCAAGTGGTTTATGTCAAGTGAAGTCAAGCATGGGCCAGCATATGAATCAAAATTTGTCAAGTTCGTTTTTTCCCACTCTGCTGTATGAATTGATACAGCCTTACTTTTTAATATGAATCCCCGGAGAGCGCCATGTTGCTTTTAACTGACTGTAGGTTCAGCAGAGCAATCAAACCCTTTGTTTTTTCACACCATCCCACAATCCCACCTGCTTCGACGATACGATAGAGGGCCCTTTGAAAAGAACGAGGCGGCATGATTTATTATTCTAATTAGGTGAAGTGAGACTTTTGCAAAGCCACAATTACACTAAATCGCCAAAACAGTTTTCTGGTTGGCTGGCTCCTGTTCTGTTTAGATGTTAATCAGAGGCAGCTATTGAGTTGAGGTGCAAACTGCTTGTGAGTCACACTATTGCTTGGTAATATCTTCAACAAACACACAAACAATCAGATGTTTGGAGTCCTTTACTAAATTGCAAATAGGCTTTTTGTCTTATTAAATAAAATTGTGTAAACCAGGTATACAAGCCTGCTTCCCAACCATGTCGCCATCTAACAGAAGGCTTAACATGCAATGATACCGAGTACTGCAGTGTTTAATTCCAGGTCATTTCATAATTTCTTTGATACTCACTCACATCTGCACATCTCTTTGCTCTCACTCACTGACAATCAAGCAGCTGCAAGCTGGCATGCTCACTAAATCCTCTGCTACTACACACAAGTCACACGCCAGACATATGCAGTCGCTCTCCGCATGCATATATGAGCACGACCTGCACTAGTGCCCATTACGGAGCACTCATGCGCACAGGCCCTCATACATGTTTACGTGGATGTAAGCACTCAGGCACAAGCAAATCCAAGTGCAGGCACAACTGAGTACTGCACTCATGGAAAAAAAACACTATGCATATTATTAGAAATTAATGTGTTGGCAGAATGAACATATATACTTTTACAGACTCAGACTGACACGCAGGAGGAAATTAACCCACAACACAGAGTCCTTTTAGATCCAATCCATTCCTGTGGTTCTCATCTTCCACCCCTTCTCCCCTTTCCACTTCCTACATTCCCTACAACACCCTGGAAACACCCCAATCATCCTGCATCAACAGGCATGTGAACCTTGTGCTTGGTTCATCTCCTTCTATCGCTCTCTTTCTCCCTCACTCCCTCTCTCCCTCTCTCCGCTGCCTCCTCTATTTTCATCCGTGTGCTTCCACTCTCCTAGCTTTCGGGTAATTACCTGGCATTTGCATTGCAAAGTCCCCAATGCCGCCCTCAGCTCCTCCGCAGGTGATTGAGCTTCATTTCCCCAGCAGATAAGAGAGAGAAAGAGGAAGAGGGAGAGGAAAAGAGGATTGCGGCAGGGTGTGATGTTATTCTGGATTGCAGGATATAGGAACAATGCCCCAAATTCTTTGTTATTCTCATTGTCTGGTTCAGAGCGCACACAAAAAAATTTTTTTTAAGTTTCCGCACATAAATAATCACAGTCATTACTATCGCATCACCTGGTCTGGCTGTATTTGCAGTAAAACTCTGCTTTTTGACTGTTGCAGACTTGTAACTCTGAGTGACTTTTTTTAGACTAATAGTTTAAATAGTTTTGTGCCTTTTTCTGTGGGTTATAATTGCAAATCACACATCATATTAGTGCCAGTTAAAGACAGTGAAGGACACAATGATTGTTGTTGACTCCTGGGTGAACTTTCTCCCAAAGTAGGAGTTTTATCTGCCCAACAGTCCTAAACTAAAGATTTAGGACTTTTTGTTTAACAGACAAAACCAACAAATTCTAGAGTAGAAATTCTGGCACAATTAATTAGTTGTCCTTGGTTATCCATCAGCTGACCAATACTTTCAACTTTTCTTTACCTCTTAGTCTCTGTCTCTTTTGTCTGTTTCACAAAACTGAAATTATGTTCAGCTTTCAATCCAAGGCATCAGCTTTCATTGCTAATGAGATGTCAGATGATTGATAAGTATGCCTTTCTTGAAGACTTCAGACTGGAATTTGCGCCTTTTTAGTCATCGAATCATCACGAATGATGTCTCCAGACATAATATACGTGCACTAGTTGGGATTTTACATTCCCTCATCCAAGCATTTGTAAGTAGACATTCTTCATTCTACATATTCTTCCATGTGATTTTTCTAAAGAAAAATATAGGTGTCAGGTTTATGAGGCGGAAATAACCAAGAAGACCTGGTGTACGGTCTTAAGGGCATGACTTTTCGATATTTTAGGATCGTTTATGTGGTCAGAGTTGTGTCCACGAAAACGTGGCCCATCTTCGTTTGCATTTCATTTATCCTGCAGGGCTTAGAGCCATTTTGTTAGATATTAACTGCGAGCTCTCAATGCTGTTTCTCATCAACGTTAACCACAAACAAGCATTACTTTATATAAAATACCACAAAGGGGAAATAACCTTCCACACATCTATGTTCCAACCCGCTCCACCAGTAGCACCTCCTACAGAATGAGCGCTGATTACTGGCGAGTGCTCATTTACATGCTGGACGCCGTGGATATTTATTTAAATTTAATTTCTTTCCCGCACACGGTGCTGTGCAGGCTTTTGTGCCAAAGTCATATTAACCCCTTGACTAGTTAATATGCAGTGCACGGCGTTGCCCACGCGCGATGAATATTCATATTGATGGCGTTTTCGACGACGTCTCTCCATCCCTTTCTCCCTCCCCTTTATCCCGCTATGTAACGGAACGACGTGGCGCTATGGAGGCATGCCGGAAGACTCGGGCAACCTCACAGTTACGCCCTCAAACACAAACACAGATCGTGTGGCTCCTCGTAGTTTACGTGTGCTCCGCTGTCGCTGAAACAATGAGCGATAAAACATTTGATAAAACTCAGATGCCGAGCAGAGAGGCCGCGCTGAAAGGAAGGGAGGAGAAAATGGTCGTGGCAGGTAAATAGCGCACGGTGGTGAGTTTGTACCAAGATAACAGTTGGCACGGGGGTGACACCTGGTGCTCCAGGTTACCTGTGGCACACGCACACGAGTGACATCAGAACAGCTCGTGTAAAAAATAGTGACAGAAAACAGCGTCGTTGTTAAGAAATTTTAAGTTCAGAGCAAGCAAGGTAAGATGTGCAGTTGGTACTGCTTTATAAACTAATTATTAAGTGTATAGATAGTTGAAGTACACAAGTAAGTAGCTGAAGTATACAAGGATTAAAGTGACAGCTTCCAAAAAGTCGAAGCCTCTGCTCCATCTGCAGAATACCTACCAGCTGAGAAACTTGTTCTGCTGTTATTTTCCACTCTTGGTAGGAGGTGCTGATGCCCTGCATGACCACAGGTTTGAACTCGTTCCATTCTGCAGAAAAATAGGGGCAGCACAAATCAAAACAGTATTTTTCAGATTATAGTTATCAAGGAAAACCCAGGTTTCAAGTGGGTGTTAGGTTTCGTTATTTAATTTTTATTTCTTTTTTCACTTGTAAGTCCTTGACTTCATCTTGGCACAACGTAGGTGTTGGACGTTTTGTTCAGGGATCAATCCAGCCATATTAAAGGTTGAGACATATCACAACAGACACACTGGTTTGTGTTAACCGAAATTATATCCCTGCGCACTGCAGTGTGTGCAACTGATGGTAAGGGCTTGTGACTGTTTATCCCGGACATTATGGCTGTCTTATGACAGAAATTGAAAATATGATCAGATCCAGAATCACGTGAAAGTCTGTCTTGGTGGATTTTCAACAAGTAAATCTTCCTCCACTTTTGTAACTGACCAGACCTGTTGTGTTGTCAAAACTCTGCAGCACAGTGAAAAATAGAGAGGCTTTCAAAAGTCAGGCAAAGGGAAGAGTAAATATATATATATATTTACTCTTCTTCTTCTTTGCATGCAACTTATTAATTTTGTGAAGCTATTAGTTACTGTTTGATGAACACTTACTTACAGAAATGAATGCCAACACATTGCAATAACCCCAAGGTGACACTGAACATAGTTTAGCAAACTGTGCTGGTAAACAACAATGGTAAATGGTAAATGTAACATACACGCAATGGTCATTTGCTTTAAGATAACCTACTATACACACACACACACACACACATATATATATATATATCATTTGTAATGTTTTGAGTGTTAAGAAAGTATTTTACAGACGCTATATAGATGTTGATAATGGTGGCAGTTTATATAGCAAGAGTTAGGCACCAGACATACATAAACTACGATCATTATAGTAAGAGAAGATTATCAGATTTCGGGTTGATTGGTAGTCAAGAAAATTACTTAGGTTCAGGAAAAGCTCGGGGGTTTGAATTAAACCACTTTCACAATGTTAACCACGTCTTAAAAAGCCTTCAGAAACCCCTGAAAGCGTACTTCTCCTGAAACTATATTTTTAGCTCATCCTGCCTTTGAACTTATTCCATGGCGGGGCATTTACAGTTCGTCTGTCCATCTACAATTCCTCAAGAATCGCTACTCCTCCTACAGTATTGGTCAGAATTTAATCAAACTTGCACACGTTTATCACCTAATGGGTCCTCACCCAAATTGTGCACAAGGTGAAGGTCATACTTGTCGTTTTACGGGCAATAACATGAATTGCGATGGATTGTGAGCCGGATGAGTTACAGTGTCATTGACGTTCTGGCTCCAGTCTTTTCTCCACCTGAGCTGTAAAACTCAGCACAGCATCCTGAACAGTCAGTTTTTCAGTGACGGTTTTGGAGCAGCATTAATTACGGTGGCGTAAGAACAACACCAACACATTGATTCATTCTCCATTTGGGTTTTTCCCATGGAAGCTCTAGTATACTACAACCCTTCCATCCAGGCAGACTATGTACCGCCATATATAGTTTTAGTTTTGTTTTCCAAGCATTGCACAGTAAGTGAAGAGGCCATTTTACGATGACTAGAATTGATGCAGTATTTGTTGCTTAATTTATGTTGAATTAAATGTGTTTGAGCTGCAGGTCAGAATTATTTACTCTTTAAATTACAGTTTTTATTGGGTGGAAATAAAAATGTTAGTATTTGCTGGACTTTTGACATCACACTATGGGTTGCTGATATGGATACGATGACCAAGTAAATTGTATCCACAGAACTCTTGTGTTAGCCTGACATTTTCACAACTGTGGAGATATAAATATGGAGGTTTAGAGCTTTTTTACCTGCCCTGACATTAACTTTTCAAACCAAGTACCTCAGGATACATTTGCTGTGATACTATTTAGTAGAGTTGGAAATAAAAGTTATTTAATGTCTTTTTTTTTCTACAAAAATGATAATAATCAAGCATGCCAACACCTGCCTTAAATGTGTCCTGAAGACGGAGCCAGTCTGCTATCAGTCTGCGATTGAATGGGGTTAAGTTAGCAATTACATGCAACCTGTTTCTGCAGCAATTAACTGTGATAGGTCATAGAAAAATCACATAACTGTTGCTGTCTACATGGACAGAAACTAATATTTAACTATTACATTTGTGCTCAGCAACTTTCCCTTTGTTTGAGCGGTTTGGTCGAGTAACATCTCAAGATGGTGGTGCATGAGATCAGCCCTCGCGTTTATTGTATTTCCATAGTAGTTTGATTTAATGAATAAAATGTCGATATTTGGTGTCACTGTACTGTATCTGTATTTTTCCCCTCACCCCTCTGTTTAGCCTGTTTAGTGAATGTGTGTGATGTAGTCTGTGGACAGTAATAAAATCTTTCAGTCAACAACAAAATCTGTAGTGGCAGCAAAAGCCTGTTGGGATATGTGGTGGGATTGTGTACAAATAGTTGTTGATTAAGTCAGGATAACACAAATCTGTTTGGATCAAGTCCTCAGCTCTGTTATAGCCATCCTGGCACAGAAAATGTCACATTTAAACAACTGAATGAAATCATTTTACTACTTTTTGCTGAACTGTTCGGAATATCATTCATTCTGTGAGTCAAACATCCCTGCCTCACCTCAGCTCGTCTTATCGTTTCACTCACTTTTTCGTCTTATTAATTCGGGACCGCAAGGCCAGTATCAGTGTACCACCAAGGAGAATCGTGGTGTGATATGAACATAGATAGCTCTATCCACAAAGTGCATTGTGGGACCTGGGTGTGAGAGCATAGGATGAAGCCGTGCCGCAGCGTCCAGAGGTCCATCTGGGCATTATGCGCATGAAGGCTCCGCCCCGTCGTAAGTTCCTTCTCCGTCTGTTGAAGCAGCTCGGAGACACCGCATGGCAGAAATCTGTTCCTCCCCTTTCACCATGGGGGAGCAGTTTAGATGGGGTCGTTCAAGTGTGTGTATGTGTGTGCTGGAATAGCATGCTTCTGTGTTTGACGGTGTGAGCCATTAAGCATGAGTAATTTAAGGATTGCAAGAACGGTCTCCACATATGCCCTGTGCTGTCCCAGCCTCGTGTGTGTCCGAGTGCACGCACTCGCATCCTGTCCACAATGAAGATCGCTAATTTTGAAAGTTACTTCTAGCCTTCCATTTAAAGAAGCACCCCGTTTCTTGTTCAGATGTCCTGTTGTCCTGTGTTCTCTCCCTTCCTTGCTCCAGTCTGTATAATGTACTCAGTGACCTTGGCGAGAATGATCCAGTGGCAGATTGCTACATGGTAGGGGCACAGTAGCTATTATTTTGAGTCAGTGCGGGATAGACTGCCAATATTTCTTCTAAACAGGATGGGGGAGGTCAGCTGACTAAAATCAATCTCTGCTACATGTTTCACTATAACTCTTAAAAGCAGCTTCATAGAGAAGATATATTTCTGGTGTTATACCTCTGTTGCTTCTCTTCCATCTCTTGATGCCCTTGGGTTCCTAGTTTTGGAAAGAGCTTGGAGGGGGAGAAAGCATGCATGCGTTGAGTAAACATATAAATTAAGTATCCAAACAGAAGATAAATAAATGAGAGATTTGCTTATGGGCGGTCCTGCAGCTCACTGATTTTTACTAGAATGTCAGCGCAAGAACATAACCTGAAATCTGTCATTTGATTCTTGTATGGTTTCCATACCACAGTCAGTCGGTGAATTGGAGACCTTTACACTCTTCATGCATCTTGGTCAGTGCACTCTGGAGTAAACCCCTCTGTGACACTAGCTGTATAGAAAATCATTGGATTTGCTCTCATATATGTGTAGGGGGAGAATGAGCATTTTTCTTGGGCCACTTGGAGACTGTTTTATTTTTTTCCCATCACACCGGCTTGTGTTAGATTTACGAGCAGGCCCAAACAGGATGCTCCTCCATCTTTGAGGAAGGGGAATAGTGGAGCTGATGTAATAATCGCAATCTTTTTCCAACCCAGAATAGTGACTGTGTGAGGTGTATGTATGCATCACAATAACAAGTTGGCTTAGTTGTTTACAGGCCACAGCAGCAAAGTTTTCATTACTTACCTTTTAATGTTTTTTTTTTATCCCCCCCTCCCCAATTTGTTCCACTCTTTCTCGCCCCTACCCACCCTCCCATTCAGCAGAGGAGTAGTTGGCAGCGGCATAAAGCATCAGCCTGCTCCGACGACTCGTGCCTGAGTCCCTGCCAACCTGTGTGAAGCTAGGAAGGGGAATAGGAAAGAGGGAGGGAAGGGGACGAAAGAGAGGAAAGCGATAGAATGGATTTTTTTTTTTTTGGAAGGAAGTAAACAGAGCAGCCTGGAAATCAACCTTCCAATGCCAGTTTTGGCATCCAGGGATAGAACCTCTCCCGGGTCCCTGTGAGGAGGCAGGAGCGCTTGGACTTCAGTTTTACGGGTGAGAAACACGGGATCACGGGTAGAAGCGGAGGTTAACAAAGACTAAATACCCACTAAAACAAGTCAAACTGGGCTTTATCGTCCGCTAAACAACAGACAGATTGTTGTCCCCTTGACTGGTGGTAAGCTTGATTCAAGCAGAGTGGCAGGGTGTCCGGGTTTGATTTTTCTGGTTCTGGTCCAGCCGCCTACAACCGACATCCTAAAAGCAACAAAAGGTGACCAACGTATTCCGCTTCTGTCCTGCTGCACTGTATAGAAGGCGCAGTGCTTTTCAGATATCCGAGAAAACAAAGACACGCAAAAAATTACGCCCATATCTCATCCAAGTTGGGAAAAAAAGCCTTTTCATGAATCCTTCCCCCATATTCAGCCTGTTTTCTCCTTTTGTAAGCCCAGTCAGTCACCCTCCCTGCTTGTTTTTTTTTTTTTGTCGTCCTCTGTTCTTTCTTTTGCTGGCGTAGTGAGGGAGCGTAGTGAGGGTATTCAGTTCTTTCTCAGTGCCTGCGTGTGTTAGATGGGGTAATTCTGGCAGAGTGGGGTGTGGGCGCTGGTCTGGAGGGGGAGGGCGGGCGGTGCTGGACCAGGCACAGTGAAAGGAGCCAGCCTGGCACTGTCTGGACCTCTGCCAGATGCTCCCTGGGAGAAACACCCACTGCAGAGGTTGGTGTGCAGGTGATTGTGTGGCTGGTTGCGTGCATGCAGGCAGCCGCGCACATGTTTAGCAAGAAGGGAGTGAGGGATGATGGGAAGGTGGTGCGAGGAAGAGAGTGTGAAGTGAAGATGGAGAGCAGCTGACAGAGATGAGAGGGCGGGGAGATTTGGCTCTGAGTTTCCTTCTTTGGACAGTGCTGTGTCGGCATATTCTTGGCTAACTTTGTTTTTACCTCTCTCTCTCTTTTTTTTGTTTGTTTATTTGTTTGTGTGTTTGCTTTCTCCGTGTTCTCTTGGATGAAGTGCTTGGTCTTTTTATATAGCGCCCAAAGGCATGGTGGTCCGAAAGCCAAAAAGAATCCTTCACTGCCTCTCTGCTACCCTCATCTGTTGCTTCTCACTGGCTATTTACGCCTTTTATTGTTTTGGCAAGCTTGATCTCTCCTCCTCCCACTTCTCCTCCTTCTCTATCGCACACTCTTCTCCCTCTCACTCTCTCAGTTTCGCGCTCTCTTTCTCTCTCAGTCGTTTGGCAGCTACAGTACTTTTTATCGTCGTGGCCAGAAACAAAGGACAAGAGGGTGAGAGTGAGCGGAGGATAGAAACAATGCAAATTCACAGGGAAAAAACGGAAGATATCTAATGTTCTCACACCTCCTCAAGTCACCTCCATCGGATGAGAATATTTTGCCCGTACAGGCACTCATATACTTTGACTGGAGTTAACTGTGCTCGTGAACATGACCTAGCACTGCCAAACAACCTGCTGCTGAAAGACAGCACTGTCGCACAACAGGAGGGCAAGAAGAGACCGCCTTAGGGCACCCAGGCCCCCGTGACATTTTACTTCTTTGTGCTTGTGCAGTGTGCTACTCCACAGTAAAAAAACAAACAGTTTTTTGTCAAGTAACAGAAGTGCCTTAGCACGCCAAGAAAGTATTATCAGCTCAAGTGTACTCTTTTATTGTGTAGTCTTCCAAACACTTAATCTTAAGGGCCCAAGCATTCAGAAACAGTTTCTTTTCTGTGCTCTGCTGTCTGGGTTCGGAACGATTTCTGGAAGCCTAAACTGAAGGTAGCTGCTGTTCTTTGGCCTTTTGTCGCAGAGGGAGATCATCCCATCTAGGAAATGAACTATTATGTCCGTATCAGATTAGAGATTGTTTTTATTCAGGTCAGTGTTGCACATAACATTTCTGAGCAGCCAGAAAGTAATCGCACATTGAACTCAGCGCAAGCGTCCATTATTGAGATGTGCCTAAGCTCTTAGTGTACCCCGTGGCCTGTTTATCTGTAGACTAATATTAGTGGTTGCAGTACAAACCAGCCTTGCTTAGTGGAGATTTGCACGCTAAGTCACCTCAGTCTTCTTAAACCCTAATCCCCCTCACACATCTGCGAGCTACACACTCACACACACACTTCCTTTTTAGCACTCTAATTCCACTCAGCACAGTTGGCAGTAGAGTGCTACCTCTCAGCACTCCAGTTTGTTTTACTTATTGGGTATTTTTAACATGATGAAGATTAGGGTGGCATTGAGTCTACTTGCAGTGCTCTTCCCCACATGTGAGGTTATACAGGCTCACGCCCTTGAAGTGTAGTCATCTTTTTTTGCTTTGTGGACACCCAGTGGTGTCGAGCTGAACACTAAACACGCTTTCATTCCACATAAAGTGAAGTAAGAGGGAGAGAGAGATCAGACGAAACTGCTGCTTTGTGTTTAATTGTGTGTATTGAGGAGAGGACAGCAGGGATAGAATAGCAGTCAAAGCTGTGTAATCCCTTAAATGTCTTTCCTGCACAGAAGCCTCTGGCTTTGATTTGCTGGCCCGGGGCAGCCTGTAAAGACTTGTGAGGCCAAATCGAGGCGCCTAATAGGCCTCTTTGCTCTCGTATTGTAATTTGTACTGTTGCAACACTGTGTTATGGTCTGAAGCCATATTTGCACACTGTTTCTCTTCACAGACAAGCATGCAGTCAATGGGAATCCAACTGTGGAGCCTTTCCCAGAAGGGATGGAGACCATCATGTTTGGTGAGACTGCACAATCACACTTTTGAAAAATCAGAAATAAACCAATATGGCATCCTCTTTTACCAGTTTGTGGTTAGTAACACATTTTGGCGAGAAGCTGGTTTTACTGTAGCGCTGAAGCAGGGGCGATTCATGCATTCGTTTGTGCGCATCCAGGAATGGGCTGTTTCTGGGGAGCCGAGAAACTTTTCTGGCGACTTCCGGGAGTCTTCTCCACACAAGTGGGCTATGCAAGTGGCTTCACACCAAACCCCACTTACGAAGAGGTCTGCTCAGGTACTGCGCTTTTACGCATTTGTGTAATTATACCTGCACTTTGATTTATAATAACCGATCATGCTACCTTCCCCTGAGCAGGACATTTTACTGTTACATCTATGGCCAAAATAAAACAGATAAACAGCTGGAAAGGTTGCTTTAAGTAAAGCTATCTCTTCCTCTTGCTCCTTCCCTTCATCTGCAGTCAACTACTCAGAATGCACCGCTCCAGATGGGCTGCACCCACCCGTCCCCACCCCCCCATGACCTACTTGTAAGGATTGGGCTCTGTACTGTGCTGTACTGCGGCGTTTTTGCCAACAGAGGTTACTGTGTATGAAGCGCCATAGATTGGGCTTCTTTCCCTGAGAGTTTGATTTGGCGAACGTGCCGGAGATGAAGGCATAAATCCTGAGTATTTGCAGTCGGAGGCTTTGAAAATGTTTGGCTACCTGTCTGAATCCCTCTAAATTAGTCTCTCAGCGGTCCTCATCATGACAGTCGAAAAGATTTATGTAGGCAGTTGATGTATATATTCAAGAGAATATGTTAGAGTTTACTCTCCTTTTCCCTCCCTTGTGTTTTAGGAGATATGAGTGTTAGTTTGAGGCTTCTCCATCACTCCATACTGGCATAATGTCTAGGTGAAGGCACAGCATGGGAACATGTAAAGGAAGGGAAAGATGCTCTGGGCTTAGTTGGCAGATTTTCTGAGCAGAGCCCTTCATAGAATTTCTATGTTTCTATCTGTTCTCCTCCCAGTCCTGCTTTCTGTCAGTTTCCCAGCAACACGATGGTCAGCTATGGAGGAAGATGGAGATGGAGACAGATGACAGAAAAAGAGAGACTGAGTGACGAAGCAAGTGGGGAAATGGGTAAAATAAACTTTTGAGGAAAAAAAGTGTGAGAAAGAATGGTTACCTGTCCATCGGCTGAGAGAGTGCAGGCGTCGCTCCATTGGCCATGACGGAGCAGAACACTGCGACGGCATGAGACCGAGGAGCTGTCAACACAGCCAAGGCAGGACAGACAGACAGACAGAAAGAAGGGGTTGATGGAACTGTCAGAAGAGCCAGGGAGGGATAGAAGGACAGGCTGGATGCTCTGACAGACAGAAATAGAAGAGGTTGAGGTGCAGTCAGATTCGACAGACACAGACAGACAGCTGGGAGTGATGAGAAAATGATGTTATTATCAATGAGCATATTTGAACTAATTTGTAAAACAGTCCATTGCACGAGATGTTTGCGATACAGAATCAAAGGCTAATGCTGATACCTTTCAGTTCTACCGTGCTGCATGAAGATGAATCCAGTCCTCCAACCATAACAGTCAGATAGACTGCTGATCATATCAATGGATTTTTAAAAATCACTCATTAGTTTGTTATTTTCTGCCAAACCTTAGTAAACTAACCAGTGGTAAAATTGGTTACAAAAAAAGGTTGGTGATTGTTATTAGAACAAAAAAAACCCCATAAATTCCAGACTCCAGTGTTTTGCTTATATCCTCACAGCGACACAGCACCACTACACGACTTCCATGTTTTCCACTTTAGTTCAGTTTATATCTTACAGATAGAGTTAATGGAGGCCGTGTGTAGATCTCTAAGGTATAGGCCGTAAATTCTATTTCAGCACAGGATCTGAACTATTAATATCACAACCACTATAATAAATAGGAGTGGAAGAAAGGAGAAAGACTGTGACTGTTTATATAGTCTTTCATACACTTTTGATTTGGGTTGGAAGGTCAGTTGTGTTTTGTGATTGAATATAGGACTTTTCTATAAGGAACCACTGTGATTATGTTGTGTCATTCACTGTGACTTGGAGCAGTGAGCAGAAAGTTTGAAGTAAATATGGCTTTGCTATAGGGCCATTACTGCAATAGAGAGTGTGTGTTTTATTGCTTCATGCTGTTTTGGCTCTGGATGATTGCTACTGGCATAAGAAACTTGTAAGAGAAATGTCAGAAGGCAGTAGCCCCAATGTGAAGTTATATTTTTCAAGAATGCATTCTTCAGCACAGGCGTAGCTTCTGAGTGCATTCATATAGCCACTGTGGGTGAAATAACAATAATTATACTTAAGACTCTTGTTTGCTCACTGAAAGTAATTCCAAGTATTTCTGTGGATTTCCAAAGCTTTTTCACTCATTGCTGTTTATAACAGCAGATAACAATTAAACTAAAAAGGCCAACGGGATGCCATGTTGGGCTTTGAGGTATTTTTCACCCAGAGGGCTGTTCACCTTGCTGAAGGGTCCTTCAGCCAAAAATTGAATCTCTAGCAGCTTTAGTGTTGCTGGCCTTTTCCACTTTCACCCCTTTCATGTGCGACAACCCTGAAGAGTCATACCACAGTCATATTATTTCAGATCTTAACAGCTATTTTTGCTCCAGCTGAATTTCTACCATTTTTGTTGAGTTGCTCACAGCATGACTGCCAGTCTGCAACCACACTCACTGTTCTGTGTTTGCAGAATGTTTGCAATCCCACAGAGTTAGAGGTTTTATACAGGTAATACATATTAAATATGCCAAGTCCAGTATTATGCATAGTCTCGAGCCACCCCTCATTTCTTTATATTTTGCTAATATATTTAGATAACTGTGTTACACCAGATAAATGACATCTGAAAGTGATGTCATTAAGAAATAATCCAGACCTGACCTAACACAGGACCCAAGAGATGCATCTGGCCCATCAGCTGATCCACCAGCTGTTCACTGAAGTCATAAGAAATGATTTCAGGGTGAGGGTGGCTGTTAAGAATTCAGTTCAATTCAATTCAGTTTTATTTATACAGCACCAAACCCCAACAACAGTCACCTCAAGGCACTTTATATAGTAACGTAGACCCTACAATAATACATACAGAGAAAAACCCAACAATGATAAGATCCCCAATGAGCAAGCACTTTGGCGACTGTGGGAAGGAAAAACTCCCTTTTAACAGGAAGAAACCTCCAGCAGAACCAGGCTCAGGGAGGGGAAGCCTGCTGCAACAGAGAGTATTTAAAGCATTTTTTAAAGTATTTAAAGGTCTTTTGAGACGATTATTGCAAATTTGCAATTTTTGGTTTAAATTGTCATGTAACTGAGATCCAACAGTTAGTGTCTTCAGCCATCTATAAAACACAGTGGAGGATCTGTCATAGTGGTGTTGAGGATCGTATCATAATTGATGGAATAATGAATGCAGAAAACTGCCATCAGATTTTTATCCACTATGCAGTGCCATCTGGAAAGCATCTGAAAGCAGTGGCTCCATTTTCCAGCATGATAATGATCCCAAACACACTGCCAATGCATTTAAAGCATACCTGGATAGAAAAACACACAGAAAGCTTGACTAAGAGAGTTCAGACTGTGTTGAAGAATAAAGGTGGTCATATGAAATACTGTCTTTCAAGCTCCTATATACTGTACTTCTATGAGTATTTGCACATTTCATTAAATAGCTCCACCTGTTTCCAATTTTCCTTGCAAAATATAAACACTTGAGGAGTTTTGCTGCACAATATGCTTATATATTACAATCTCAATCTAAAAATATGCTTTAAGTTTCTAGCAACATCTTTTTTTTCAGAAATTAGTTAATACACACTCCTTGACTTTGGTAACAACAGTTTAAATAAACGAACTCCTCCATTTTCATTTGGCACACCATGTTCCTCTGAGCATCATTTAGAAAAGAGAAAGTTGGTTTCAAACCAGATGCATGAATTTGGCAGACATTCATCTATTATCTGCAATGCACCTGATAAATCTTTCTGTGTGGGCATCTTTTGTGTGTGTGCTGTATACTGTACTTACAGTTTCTTCTGAAGCAGTTCCGAGCTGACACCTCTGTCTTTATGTTTAGAAGAAAAATGCGTTTGCAAAGGGGTGCTTGGCGTTTGAGATTACCTTTTCTGCTCTAAATGTGTTTCCCGTTGCGGATGCACCTACATGTGAGACTTAAAGCAGCTCCTACTTTGTGAATGCCTGCAGGCAGCTTGTTGAAGCTTCGGGGTCCTGGCAGCTGCAGACAGGAGTGAGTGCTTTTGGCAACCTCCACCATAAACCCCAACATTGACTGCTTTCTCTCTTGCTCTCTCTTTCTATCTGAATCTCTCTTTCTGCCACTTTCTCTCTCCCCATTGTGCCATGAGCAATGGCTGACTGTCTTCTACCTGTGGCACCTGAACTCACTGCACAAGCATCCCACTCATGAGCTCTCCTTTGCAGTTTTCAGTAGGCAATTGTTTTAAATTTAATCAGCTGTTACAGTATGTCCAGTGTTTGTGGTGAAATGTAGGAGAACAGAGTGAAATAAGGAGAACCTGGATCGAGTGGACATCATAAGAGGGGATGTCGTGTCACTTTACTTAGATTAATGCAAATTTGTGCTTCTCCACTAGGTCTGACAGGTCACACCGAGGTGGTGAGAGTGGTGTTCTCCCCCCAAGACATCAGCCTTGAAGAACTGCTTAAACACTTTTGGGAGAAGCACGATCCAACACAAGGTAGCAGCGCACACATACACTCACAGACAAACCCCAAAGTTGCCCTCAAATAAGTCCTCTCCCAAGGGGCACAGGGTGTATTAGAGCAGAAGGATGATGCCCAGACGTGTGCCTGTGTGTGTGTGTGTTGTGGTGGGGGGAGGTCTCATGGGTGTAAGTCAACGCCAGACAGTGTTAATGTGTCTGAGATCCAGCCATCCATGGAGAGACCCACCAGTGTGGTGCATGTTCAAGCTCCCGAAAACCTCACTGAGCATGTGCGTCTTTCTTACTTTATTATATGTATACCAGCCTTTTGTCGTTCACTACACATATTGGATTCTGGGTGACGCAATGATGATAATAAATTCGCTCATTTCTAGGTTGAATAACGTCTTTGGATTTCTATGTTATTGTGCTCACTTGTGCTTCATCCGTGGGTTTAGTCCCTTAACGACATATCTGAAGTAGTCAGTGACAGGAAGCTGGTGACTATTCAGAAACTTTGGAGCGACGTCGTAACAGCTCGCTTAACTAATTCAGATGCTTCACTTGTGATCGCTATTCCATCGCACTTGCACAGCGTCGACAAGGACCACATCCCCCAAAAGCCATATCTCTTCTTTTCTTCAAGTCTGTTGCTCTCTTGTTTTCTGTGCTCACTGGAGGAGGTGATGTAAGAACATTAATGCACCGGGAGGATATGTAGAGGGTGTGTGCATCTATGTGTGTGTGAGAGACAGAAAGGACAGGCAAAGAGGTACTGTGCTCACTTATATTGAATGTAGGGAGGGGCATGACAACTTGGGAAGAGATGGATCAAAGATTCATAGGCCCGACCTTCAGGCTTGTGTGCACGCACGCAACACTCACAGTAACGTTGCCCGTGACGGTTTTGTCATCCCTTTTGCATCTGTCATGATTGCTCTCTCATGATCGCTCCTGGTGTGACCTACATACACTGGAATGTCAGCCATGTTTGTGCGTCTACCGCAAATACCCAGATAAATACAAGCATAAGCTTTTCACTTCGGCTGTTCTACATGAGGCAGGATTTTGGAAGGATGCAGGGGAAGAAGAAGCTACTGAGCGCTGAAGATCATCCAAGAGCCCCATCCTCCTAATCAGAAGGGATTCTTCTCCTGTTGACCACAGCTGAGAGCAGAGACACGTCTTACTGGGGGCAAAGAGTCGAGCTGACACACCACGGTGAAAAAGCAGTGAGGCCAAAAGACTAGTCATGCATTTCCCTTGACTCGCTGCCTTGTCTCATCTCATGTTTTATTAATAGTGTGCAGCTTATTGTCTATGCACTATGTATTTTTATTTTTATTTTTTTGTCACAGGTAAGATCAAACGACATATTTCGGAATAACCACAAACTCAAATGTACTTTTTTCTCAGTCTCCCTGAGTGTTGCTCCTTTGCGCGTGACTTAAATGTGAATCCCGACCGTTTCTCTCTTCTCAGATTCCGGGTTCACGTGTAGCAGAAATTCCTCTGATTTGACAAATGTAGCATGGAGTGGTGGAAAAGGGCCCGCTGGCTGTGCCTTCACGCATGCTTAAGCTCCAATTTATTCTGTCCACCTTAGAGCTGGGCTTAAAAGAGAATGGAGAAATTAAGGAAGTTCACTCTTTTCCCTTTTAACTGCACACATTCACTAGAGATCGTATATGAAGACGAGCCCGGGAGCATTACGAATTCTGTTTTCTCCTGGCACGTATCAAAACAGCAGAGGTTTGATAGATATAGATATATATCTATAAAAACATATGCGCGTGTGTGTGTCGGGGGGGCAATGCACAGGTGCATATTCAGTTGCATGTAATGCTTCCCTTTTAATGCGTTTGTGTGGGTGTGTGCATGCACATATGTGTGTGCGCGCGTGTATGTGTTTTGATATCTGTGCCTCTCTGCTTTGCCTCAGTTCAAAAGGGTTTAGTCCCGACAACGTGATGTCGGGCTGCGTCAGCTCCACCAATCCCAGCCTGGATAGCAACATTAGCAGCCAATCAGAAACTCCCAGCAGCCTTTGCTGTGTGCCCCCTTTCCATATTCAGCAACACTAGTCTCAATCTGCTGGCTTCTTTGGGATGTTGCATAAAGCCACCCCCACACACCCCCCATTCCAACATGCTTCCATATTATAAGTTTCTCATGTCTACGTTCAGTCAACTCTTCAGGAGCACCCCTCCACGCCAGTGAATGACAAACTCTCAACAGTCGGGTGACATTGCATGTCAGAGGGCAGCAGCCATTTTGTTGCATCTTGAAAGCTGAAAACGTGATTTCGTTGAGGATGATCACCGCTGACTTGCGAGCACATCCAGTTTTTCTTTCGCTTTAATGCGGACTCCGGCGCAGTAAAATTTTACCTTATGCACAAGTGCCCACTATGCCTACTTTAAGCTTTAATTAAGCTTTGCTTCATTTGAACATACACTTAAGAGCACACCCATGCATACTGTGCATGCAGAGAGTGTACACAGCAGCATAGGCTGCTTGTCAGTGTATTCACTGGACGAGTCCTTGTTACAGAGGCCTGTAGGCCCTGTTTCACTCTCTGTTTTTGCTATCTCCACACTCCCTGTGGAAGATAGGAACACCTAATCTGGTCATTTCTTTATCCTGCCAACCTTTCAGCGCAAACCCCACTGTTTCTCTCTGTTACTTCAATATTTGCCTTACCACCCTTTTTTTTTATCCTTAACCCTTTTAAACAAGCACCCCCCCCCTTTTTTTTCTCTGATTTCTTATTCTGTTTTCTATCTTCTTTCCTCCAATTCTTTCCTCTGTGTTTGCACATTCTGTCCCAGTTTCCCCCTCTCCTCCTGTCTCATCCTATCACCCCCTCCCCCTTCCCACCCCACCCATTTCACCTGCACCCCCTACCCCTGTCCCTTTTGCAGTGAGTGGAGCGGAGGGGCAAGTGAGAGAGCAAACGGCCCGGAGCCCGTCAGTACATCCGCAGAGCAGCACAGTGAGTCGACCGCTCCCTGAGGCCATCCGCTCATCACACAAACACGCTCACATTCACTCACTCCTCTTTTATCTCTTAGTCACTCTCTCCTCCCTGCTCCTCATCCCCCCCCCCCCCCCCCCCGCTCTCCTCATCTCTTCCTCCGTTCCCCTTGTCCCCCACCCTCTCCGCCGCCCTTCATCTTAACAAGCGAGGCTTTTCCCCTCCTCATTGTTTCCTCCCCATCTCTTTTTCCCCTTCTTTGCTTCCTCTTCCCTCATTCCCTCCATCCTCTCTATTTTTTGAGGCCATGCAGTATTTATGTTGTGGGCTGCTGATGCTGCGTCAGTGAACAGACATCACAGGCGTACGCCGATAGACACAAAAACACAAGTGTACAACTAAAATGGCCGACGCATCTGTCCTCATTTGATAGCGTCTGCACGTACATGCACGCTAACCTTTGTAGGTTAGATACTTTAAATAGTTTAGTTAAAAAGAAGAAAAGAAAAATATGATTGTGAGGGTTTTTTACATTTGAGCTTGGGGTTTTTTTTTTGTTCTAAAATCTATATTTTACAATATGAATGTAAGTTGCACAGCATTGTTGCTGCATTACATTCTATATGACAAGCTGTATTTAAATGGCTTATTGCCTATCACACATAAACATGATCTATTTGAGTCACCCTAGCAGCGGTTACTTTCTGACAATTGCAATGAGCATGAATATTCCTTTATGTAATATCTTCACCCCAGCTGGCGGCGACACACGTCAATTCCCTGTTGGGGTACCCCCGTGTCCCCCCCGTGTCACCACATCCCTCAATTTCAGGGGTGCCCGTGCACATCCAAAGCCAAAATCCCACAGGAGATGACCTTGACATATAACCCATGACCTCTGCAACCCCCCACACTTCTAATCCAACCCTGTTTCTCTCCTGTGGTTGGCTGAGGTTGGCGGGCTCATTACCAGGTGTCGGTTATTACACCCTCACACATGCTGACGGCCTTAATTTATGGAGATTGAGGCACGTGTGTTCACAGCGTGGGGGTTGAGTTCTGCATGTCCATTTGAATATGTTAAAGTTTTCTAACATTTTCATACTTCAATATTTCGATGTATTTTTTTCAATTTACAAATTTGCAACCTTTTTTTCTGTGGGTTTTTGTGAACGTATTCATATTTCGTGGTAATAACCCAACACTGATGACAACTGGACTGAAAAAATATATTTAAAACAAACAGAGCTAGACATGAGATTTGGGGTTCCAAAGGTAAGTGTGGTTTCTTCTTTCAAAATTAAAGTCTAAACTAAAGTGTTTTTCAGAATAAAGAGTGATAGTGTCCTAAACATTTTAAGTTTTTTGACAGCCTGTCGTACATTTAATTTGACAGCACACAAAATGAGATCAAATTTATTAAAAGAAAAATAAGATGTGCAGCATTTGAAAAATCAATATTTTAAAAAACATATTCCCTCCAGGGAAGAGAAACTGCATGTACTTAATTCTGGACAGAAACTCAAAGAAGTTAGAGTGTTATTATTGTAACTGTTAATTTGGAGCAGTCAGGGTTGGTTTTTTTTATATTTCTGTTTACTTCATTTTTACATAATTATATAATATGTAAATTTGATCCCAGTAGGAGGTTTAGGTTTGCTGAAACTGCTGACCTGAACTCTGTCTAAAGTAGAGAGGGATATAACTCGAGGAATCCAACTTATGCTCTCAGTATGGACTGACTGGAGTACAATGATAGAGCTCGCTTCACTGTTGGAGCAGCTAAAAATAAACAGCTCAGGGTTAGAGTCACAGTGGTCTGACAACATGCCCAGAACTATGAAGTGATCATGTTAGAGAGCACTGCTCCTGTATAGAGAAATTAAAAACAGTAAGATGAGGCAGCTTTTCAAAAGAGGTAACTGCAGCGATCTACCTCATGCATTGTCACATAAACAGATGTAGTCGCGGTAACATCCCTGAGAGTCACAGCTCTGATTTAAAACTACCTCCTTTCAGTGTTGTGTCACTACCTCACAGCAAGCTTTGCAATGGC